TAAATGAAATTAACTTTTTAAATGCATTAAATCAAATGAGGTGTGCGATTATCCAAGAAAAATTAGTCTAAAAATATCTTAATAGTTCAAAAAAAAAAAAAAAAGATCTACGTAATTTGTTTTTCTTTGTAATTGGGAGAGAGAATTTGAATAATTGGGAGAGAGAATTTGAACTATTTAAGGATTATAAGCATGAACCTTAGGTATTGAATAGAAGATCTATAACTTAAGTTACTATTTTTTTCTTTTTTGGTATTTATAGTTAGGATGTCTTTAGACAAAATTTTATATATTTTAAGATTAATTTTAAAAGTGTGCTCTCTTATCAATTTAAAATATTTAATAAAATTAATTTTTCTATATATTGATTATAAGACTTAAACATTAAATTTAATTTATAAAGTGATACTTATTTATTAATAGATTAAACTTTTGATATTATACTTTAATAACAAGTATAACATAACACATCTTAAAGTTGAGAAAGTTTAATTTAACAGTGCTAACCTATAATTATAATTATAAGTTTTTTTTAATATCTTTAAAAAATAAAAAATAAAAAATATATTTAATATTTATTTTAATTAATATTTTATATATTTTAAAAAAAAATAAAAAAATCTAAGAACTAAAAATTAAACAACTGATAAACAAAGTCAAACTTCCATGGCCTATTTTTGAAAAAAGATAGGCATAAACGCAGCCAAACTTAACCTACTTATTTTGGGAGTGAATTTTTTGTCTGTCACAAAAAAATAAAAATAAAAATAAAATTTTCATTCTTTCCCGTGCAAAACGTGATAAGATAAGTACAGTCAGCGTCAGTTCCACCAAGGTGGCAAAAGACACGAGTAAAGAGATACGACTGTCAATGGTTTTTCGTAATTTTCTTACTATTTTCCTTAAAAATTGGTTGAGACAAGACATGGTTTTGTACCTTTTTTTTTTTTTTCTTTTGAAGACATTGGCATCTTCCAACACGCAACTAATTCCACGTAAGACAAATTTCTCATTTTGTTGGGCATAAGACGCGCTTCCTTCTTTTACTAGATGGGTTAAGAGTCAAGACACGTTTCTTTCTCCGTCCAGGAATCTTTTAAAATTTTCCAATTGATTGCATGCGGAAACAGAAAAAGTTGATCTAGGACTCCACTGTTGATTGATATGCACCCCCAAACTAACTAGGATCCTATTTTCAACTAGAATTTTCACTTTAATTATTCGTTCACAGACTTTAGTATTTGAGTTTAATTGAACCAGAGTTAGATTTTCACAAACTAATTTAAAAATTTCTTCTTTCCCATAGTTTCCATGTTTGAAAAAAAAAATTATAATCTTATTTTTAATTAGAATTTCAACTCTAATAATTCATTTGTAGACTTTAATATTTAAATTCAATTGATCTTAAGTTAGATTTTCACAAATTACTTTAAAATTTTCTCTTCTCCCATAGTTTCCCATGTTTGGAAAGAAAAAACCTATAATCCTATTTTGCACATGACGTAAATGCAGTAAGTTGTCCAATGGAGATTAGACAATAGAATTTGATACTTAATTTAATGTAGTGTGAGTTTTTTTTTTTATAATTTATGTGGGAGGCATAGTACAACTAATATATATTTTTATTTATTTAATATTATGAAAATATTATATTTTTTTATTTTTAGTAAATTTAATTTTTTATTTAATAAAATAAAATTATAATATTTTATTAATAAAAATTTATATTTATTCTTAATTAAGTATTACTTAAATAAGATTTTCTATTTAATACTTATTCTATCTTAAAATAATTGTAGTTTTTTTACTGTTTCTTTAAATTGATGATTTAGAGACAATTTATATATTTACTTATATTATCCTTCAAAAAAATTAAAAGATAAAGTACAATTTTTTGTGATAAGATAATTAATCAAAATAAATAGATAATAATATAGTTAGAGTATAAAAAATATTTTTCTACATAAAAAATAAAAATAACAATTAATTTAAGACAAATTACAAATAAAGCAGTTATTTTGAGATGGAAAGAATATATGTTATAATTTTATACTTAAAATAAGATAAAATAAAA